TTTAGGCCCAGGCAGCTTTGGGGGCCCCTTGGGGACCAGCCACCCGCACACATGGGGGCTTCTGTTTGTGCTTCCCCTGCCTGGGGGAGTAAGGGGGTGGTGGGGGAGGGGATCCGGCCCATTGTCTGATTGCATGGGGAGGCTTTTCTGGGGACCCCTTGTGTTGAGTTGTCTGAGTGATCCAATACATGGGCGTGGAGAGCAGGGGGATAAAACTGAGGGAAAGGGGGTTTTCCCCCACTATCTCGGACTTTATTTTACATTTTTTTCATCTGGGACAATCTGAGAAAAGTAAGAAAATGATGGTAAATGTCAGGGGGCTCCTGGCCCCTCACTGAAACTTAATAAGGTTTGTTTTTGGTGTCCCTCTCCTGATACCAGAAGCAAGGGGAAGGGCCAAAGAGAAATCAGGACCCTGAGACTGACTGTCCCCAGAGCCAGCCCCGCTTTCCGGCTTCCTCTGATTTCTGAGAAAGGGGCAGCTCAGCCCGTTGCTTGCGTTTTCCAGGACCACATGATCCAACTCGGTTCCTGAGACTGTCCCAAAGCTCCCTGGGAATCAGACGGGGCTGTTTTTGCAATGAAAGATTCTCCATTGCCTGCACCTCGCACACTTGTTCACACCAGTGCAAAGCGGGTGTACGACACCATGATCCAGAAGAGCAGCTCTAGACCCATTTTGCACTGGTGTAAATGACGACACAACATGGTGGAGAATCAGCCCAGTGTCTGATCTCAGCGTATCTCCAAAAGGGGGACACAGCTTGGAAGGGGAACAATTTCCCATATTTGGGGTCGGGAAGGAATTTTCCTCCAGGGCAGATTGGCTGAGCCTCTGAGGTTTTCGCCTCCTCCGCAGCATGGGGCAGGGATCTCTAGCAGGAGGGTCTCTGCCGATTGAAGTCACTAAAAACAGGATTGGGGACTTCAACAGCAGAGTCCAGGGAAGGGGTAGGGACGGTTTTATGGCCTGCAGCATGCAGGGGGTCAGACCAGATGATCATAATGGTCCCTTCTGACCTTAAAGTCTATGAGTCTATGAGTCTATGAATCTTTGTGCAATAGGCAGGGTTTGGGGGCAGAGAGGTCGGGGTTCTAACCCAGGCTACAAGAAACCTCTCTCTGCTTGGCCCTAAGCTCTGCCTCACTAAAATAGGACACACTTTAATCGGTAGAGAAAAGTCAGCCCCTTCTCTTCGTTTCAGACATAAGAACGGCCAGACTGGGTCAGACCGAAGGTCCATCCTGTCTTCCGACAGTGACCAATGCCAGGTGCCCCAGAGGGAATGAACAGACAGGTGATCATCAAATGATCCATCCCCTGTCGCCAGTTCCCAGATTCTAGCAGACCCTGAAGCAAAGTCCTGGGGAGTTTTTCCCCCAACAGCTGATTTTGTTCCAGCACCAAAGATTGGTCCCCCGACCCACCAGGCCCTCCAAACCCAGAAAGGACGGTGCATCAGCACAGGCTGCGTAAGGTACGTCCCCAGATCGGCTGCACCATGATGCTGCCAGAGGACAGGGGAGCTTGCTATTGGGTGTTGGACATGCTTGAAGCTAACAACTTCCTATAGCTTTAGGCACAGGCAGCTTTAGGGTCCCCCTGCATTCCCCTGGGGGCCGGCCAGTCCCACACATGGGGGCTTCTGTTTGTGCTTCCCCTGCCTGGGGGACGAAGGAGGCGGTGGAGGAGGGAAGCTGGCCTATTGTCTGATTTTATGGGTAGGCTTTTCTGGGAAACCCTTTTGTTGAATTGTCTGGGCGAGACAACACACAGGTGTGGCCGGCAGAGGGATAAAACTGAGGGAAAGGGGGGTTTCCCTACTCTCGCTGACTTCATTTTACATTTTTTCACATAGGACAAGGTGACAAAGGAAGAAAATCATGCTAAATGCCAGGGGGGCGATGGTGGGGAGAAGGGTCCTGTCCCCTAGCTGCTGAGGGCGTGTGGCACCACCAGAGTAGGGTCGAACCACGGTGACACTGCAGCTCATGCAGGGCATGGGAGACAGGCCTGGGACATGTGAGGAGCAGACGGTGAACTTACCTCACATGCCAGAGACAGCAGGTTGGGGGGTCCCCATGCCCAAAGGGTGGTGGTACTTGTTCCTTTAACCCTTACCATTTTCCCCTTATTTTGCTTACAGTTGGTTTTTAATAAGTTGTATTTGAGTTGAATGTAACGCAGGGATCAAGGGGTCAGGGAGGTGTCCGGTGCGCAGGGAGCACTCCAGGGTGGGGACACCCAAGCCCCTGGCCTAAGTGACCATGGTGAGACTGGGGGTTCAGTCCCCCCCCCCCAGAGATCTCGGGCCCAGCCTTGTCGGGGTTACGAGGACTCTGCTGCACAGGAGGGAGGAAGGGGAGCCCTCAAGGGCAGGCCGGCCTCCGGGTGAAGGGAGCGACCACTCAGATCCTGTTGCTGTCCGATTCCATCGGGATCATGAAAAAGCCAGGAAAGTTCCCCACAACAGCAAAACCACCCCCACTTATGAGAGACACGGTGGGTGAGCTAATATCTTGTATTGGATCAACCTGCATGGGGGAGGGAGACAAGCTTTCGAGCTGCTGTCGGGTGGCTGCCGGCTAAACAGCTGCACATGCCAGGCCCTCGCCTGTGTTTCCGTGCAAGAGTTAAGGGCTGTAGGAATTTTGGTTGCAGTTCGGTGGCTCAGAGCCAGCCCCGCTTCCCGGCTTCCTCCCATTTCTGGGAAAGGGGCAGCTCAGCCTGTTGCTTTCGGTTTCCAGGAACACAGGATCCAAACTGGCTCCTGAGACTGTCACAAAGCTCCCTGGGAATCAGACGGGGCTGTTTGAGGGATGAAAGATTCTCCATTGCCTGCACCTCGCACACTCATTCACACCAGTGCAAAGCAGGTGTGCAGCTCTAGTGATCCAGAAGAGCAGCTCTAGACCCATTTTGCACTGGTGTAAATGACGACACAACATGGTGGAGAATCCGCCCAGGGCCTGATCTCAGCACATCTCCCAAGGGGGGAGAAACACAGAAGGGGAACAATTCCCCATGTGTCTCTTTGTGCACCAGGCAGGGGTTGGGGGCAGGGAGTTTGGGGTTTCAGGTATAGGCTCTACTTGGCAGAGGGCTGAGGAAGGGGATACCAGGCTGCCCTGATGAGAAGAGAAGAGAACCTGCAATGCCTGAGGATGGACTGATTCATGCTGCAGCTGTGGATAGAGAACAGGGAAAAAAACGGAAAAACGGAACAGGGTTTATCAAGGATCTGTTCCCAGTAAGGGTGGGACTGAATCCTGTTCCACCCCTTTCTCAGCCCTGACCCCTGCCTCGATAAAACAGGAAACTTTAATTGTTAGAGAAGCCAGACCCTTCTCTTCATTTCAGCCTCTGAAGCAAAGTCCAGGAGAGATTTTCCCCCCAGCAACTGATTTTTCCCCAGCAGCAAAGAGGAGGACACAGGACGGTTCATCAGCACGGGCTGCGTAAGGTTCGTCCCTAGATCGGCTGCACCACGATGCTGCCAGAGGACAGGGGCGCTTGCTCTTGGGGGCTGGATGCGCTTGAACCACTAATGGTTTCCTTTAGCTTTAGTCACTGGCAGCTTTGGGGGTTCCCTGCATTCCCCTGGGGACCGGCCACCCCCACACATGGGGGGTTCTCTTTGTGCTTCTCTTCCCTGGGGAGGCATCGGGGCTGGGGGTGGAGGTTAGGGTTGCCAACCCTCCCATTTTCGCTGTAGACTCCCAGAACCGGGCTCTAGGGACATGATAGCAGTTTTCAGGTATCTAAAAGGGTGTCATAAGGAGGAGGGAGAAAACTTGTTCACCTTAGCCTCTAAGGATAGAACAAGAAGCAATGGGCTTAAACTGCAGCAAGGGAGGTCTAGGTTGGACATTAGAAAAAAGTTGCTAACTGTCAGGGTGGTTAAACACTGGAACAAATTGCCTAGGGAGGTTGTGGAATCTCCATCTCTGGAGATATTTAAGAGTAGGTTAGATAAATGTCTATCAGGGATGGTCTAGACAGTATTTGGTCCTGCCATGCGGGCAGGGGACTGGACTCGATGACCTCTCGAGGTCCCTTCCAGTCCTAGAATCTATGAATCTATGAATCTCCCGGAGGCTCCTGAAGCCAAACCGGGAGATTTTCAGCTGCTGAAAGTCCAGTGGCACAGCAGTGCTAAGGCAGGTTCTCTGCCTGCCCTGGCTCCACGCTACTCCCGGAAGTGACTGGCACATCCCTGCAGCCCCTGGGGCAGGGGGTCTCCGTGTGCTGTCCCCGCCCCGAACACCGACTCTGCAGCTCCCATTGGCTGGGAACTATGTCCAATGAGAGCTGCGTGGGTGGAGCCTGCAGGCAAGGGCAGCACATAGAGCCCACTGCTCCCACCCCAGGGGCTGCAGGCACGTGCTGGCCGCTTCCAGAAGCGGTGTGGGCCAGGGCAGGCCAGGACCCTGCCTTAGCCCTGCTGCGCCGCCGACCGGGAGCTGCCTGATGTATGCCCCGCCCGACTGGATCCCACACCCCTCAAACCTCCCACACCCGAAACTACCTCCTGCACCCCAACACCCTGCCTCACACTGAGCCCCCTCCTGCAACCTAACTCCCTCCCAGAGCCAGCACCCTCAACCCCAG